TCTGTTTCAGGGGCTTCGAATGGGACTTTGACGTTATGCTGCGTGAAAAGAAGGCTGAACGCAAAAGAAAACGAAGAAAGCATGGTGATGGAATTGACATAATAAATGACGACGATGGAATCATTGCACATATGGTCAACGCGATGAGAAATGCTGCTAAGGTAAGTTGTGCGAGATAGATTTGTGTTTCTTGATGCAGGGCAAATTTGATTTTTCAGGATGACCGCCATTCAAATACGGAGAGAAAACCTGCATTGAAGAAGAGAAAGATGCTTGCTGATGTGAAAATGATGTTGCTTAGGGTAGGTTTAGGCTTCTTTTTATGAGTGCTTTTTCCAGATTCTTGATTTTATAACTTGAAACTTTGTTTCTGATAAGTTGCCTTTTACTTTGAGCTTGGTTCCCGTTTGTAACCTTCAAAGCCCTTCCACTTAATGACTTTCTTGATTTTCTCATGTATAATATCTATGTATCTTCTTTAAAGGCTCTAATTTTTTACAATGTTTACTCTGATTAATGGAGTTCAAACGAGAATTTCAATATAGAAGTTAAATTTCTTTCTCGTTGGCTTCTTCCTTTTGGGTTTTACTTATAAACTTATTATTGTTGAACTTGTAGACTGACACCCTTGACGCGATGATCGAAGGTGGAATGATGAGTGCTGTATCGGAATGGTTGGCACCTTTGCCAGACAAAAGTCTTCCAGCTCTCGAAATTAGGACAGAACTGCTGAAAATCTTGCAAGGATTTGGCCGACTTGATCAGGTAAGCCATTGTACAGCACATTGCAAGCAATAAAGTGAAATTCAGGGGATTCTGAAGCAGTCTGGGCTAGGTAGAGCGGTCATGTTGTTGTACAAGCATCCAAGAGAAACGAAAGAAAACAAAGCTATAGCTGCTCATATCATACGAGAGTGGTCGAGACCTATCTTCCAGGTAAGCTGGCTTATTGTGGGTCACGTAAAATAGAATACATCGTGTCTCATCTTCCAGCTAGATACAGATTTTCGCTCTGTTTCCCGCGAGGAAAGGCTTCAGAGAGATTTGGAGCATATGTCTAGTGCGAAAAAGAGGAAGCTGAGGTTAGAAAATTTCTGTTAAATATCGTCGTTGCTATGCCCTTGTAATTTTTAAGTCAACAGCTTAGCTTCTTTGATCGTCCAAACTGCAGCGTAGCTTTTCTTCGAATCTCTGCCACCAAATTAAATAAATCGCATAAGTTTAGTGGAGAAGCAGGAACATCCGATCAAAATGCAACGCCGAAGGATGAAAAAGTCATCAACAGAGCTCGCGTGCCCAGACCCTCCACCAGAGATTACGTTGTTAGGCCTAAGTCAAATGTAGAAGGAGAATTCAAGGTTTGTGTTTACCGCTCTGTTTCGACATTGTTATAAGTGATCTACTGACAGGGTGAAAGAAAGGCAAGGGCATTTGCTCGTCTTGACAAAGCGCAACGGGAATTTATGGAAAGAACCAAGCGTATGAAAGTCAAAAGGGCTGTCGGTGTATCGCTAGAAGGAAGAAATATGGCTATCTAATGCGTGTATGTGCAGATTACAACAATTTCCAATCTGACTTTCCTTTCAATAGTAACCCTAGACTATTCACAATTTGTCTTTGAATCTTTGTGTCTTTGAATCGCTGTTGTTCTGAAGATGTGTGGTGCATATGTATCTGTGCGTATTTTTAGGCGGATGTCATGTTTAAAATGATATATTTATGTAGATGCCCAGCATTCTCTGTCCTTTTCCACTTTTTACAGAATTCATGAATTTGAATGTTTCAATAAAGAGGCTATTAGAAGATACAACACATGTCTGATCCTGATAATATCATATTGATGACGCATTTGATTGTCATGCTAATTAG